TGACTGTGACCAAGAAGTGAATACAACCTTGTTCCTTGTCAGCTCTACTATACAACTGAGAAATCTTACAGATCATAGCAATACACATCTAGCACCATTGTCTGCCAACCCTACGCATGGTCTTGGGTACACTCCCCACTACATAGACAAACATAATAGTTCAGCCCGTCTACCCATCTATCCACCCATATACCTACCCATGTTTGCCTTCACTGACAACGCAGTACTGTATGTGCAAAGGATTCATCTTTGTTGTCTGCACCTCCCATGTACCTCTCTATGTCTTCCTCTTCCACAGTGCTACCATGTTGATGACTCATATTTGGTACATTGTCCTTCTCTTCACCCAAGTCAATACTTTATCTGTCAGTGTTCCCGCCCCTCCTCCCCGCCCGGTAACCAACATAGAAAATTTCCTTCTATATAGAAACCTTTCCTTGACTTTTATAATAATGGGATAATGTAATATTTGTCCTTCTATGATTGACTTATTTCACTCAGCATAATGTCCTCCAAGTTCATCCACGTTATACGGTGTTTTGCAGATTCTACGTAATTCTTTAAGGTTGCATAATATTCCATTGTGTGTATGTACCATAGTTTGGTTATCCATTCCTCAGTTGATAGACACCTAGGTTGTTTCTATCTTTTTTTTTTCAAATTGTGATTTGGGTGAAGATTTACAGAGCAAATTCACTTTCTATACAGCAGTTCACATACTTTGTCTCATGTCATTGACCACAGTTTACCACAGTGTAACAGTTCGCCTCCCACTTCCTCCTCATAGTTACCTCTTCCCAGTGTCCATCCCTCCATACACTCCTGCCCCCTGAGCTGTCTCCCTATGCATAAGTAGCCCTTCTTTCTCCCATGATTGTTCTCTCCAAGGAGTGTATCTACTTGAGGTAAATGTTCAGCTCATATGTCTGTCTTTTGTTTGGCTGGAAACCACAGGTGTGGGTTCAGTTCCAGACCTGAAGGGCAGCTAGGGCCCATAGTGAACACATGCAAAGAAAGTTATATTGTAAATATTCAGTGGTTCCACCAGGCTCTATCAGACCAGCAAACCTGGTCCCCACCTTTTTTTTTTCCTCCAAATGATTTTGAGTTTTGTTCACATTGTTCTCCCTCTCAATCAAGGATCTCCTACATAGATCCCCTTCCAAGTGGATGACAGTGGTAGCAGGACACCATCTAGTTATTCTGGTCTCATAGTTGTATAGGCTGTAGATCGGACCCAGTTGCTAGGACTAACTGTTTCTATGAATTTGGTTTTCTTCATTCTTAACTTTGCTCTGGACGAGGAGAGACCCATCGTTGCATCTAGATGGCAGCTTGCTAGCTTTTAAGATCCTAGTCACTACTCGCCAAAGTAGAAGGTGGAACAATGTTTTGTACAGTATGTTATGCCAATTGAGTTGGATGTCCCCTGCGACTATGGTCCCAAGCCCGCAGGTTCAACTACTCAGTCCCTCTGGGTAGCTGGCTGTGACCAAG